CTTAATCAGTTTTAAGCTGAAAAGCATTGACCCACCTGAAGTGACTTGGCACAGTTGTTAACCAAATTGACTGCCTTGTAATGTCCAGAGACTCAGACAGACAACCCATGGAGAATGGAGCAGGACTAGAAATTGCTGCCCGGATTGTCCAATTGCCAAGGAATCAAGAGGGCTCCGGGCTTGGCAGACAGTTCATTCTTTCTTTTGGACAGTTTTCTTTTATTCACACAGAGAAAGATAAAGGGTTTCCCCCTCTCAGCTGTTCATGGAACAGTGGCCCCAAACAAGGGATGTGTTGAGAGGAACTGTCCTACTGTGCTCAGAGAAGTCGGCCCCTATGGTTCCCGGCCCTTTGTTCCTTTTGTCCAAGGAATCAGTGCATTGTCTGCTGGGTCTTGGCTTCATGTCAGGGGCCATATGCCACATGCTATTCCACTTGGAGTCATTGGTGGCTCTTCCCACAATCCAGGCCTACAATTACATCCCACAGAAGATAGGAGTATTCATTTTCCCTGATTTTTCTGCCTACTTGATGAAGTGCCGTTCTGCTGTGCCCCAGTGTGAGGGAATGTGGGACTGTCAAGTAAGCTGGAAGCTGCCTCGCAGACCAGGAGAGAGGTGAGGGGAGGTGGGAGATGGACAGCAAGTCCAGCCTCTGAGTAACACAGCTGTGCAGCAGAACCGTGAGTCCTGCTTTTAGGTCTGCTCACGTTCTTCAGGCCCATGGAAGAAGGGGTAGGGTTCATTCTGACTGGGAACTGAGGCAGGTTTACCCATTCGGGAATGCAGCCCGGGATGAGGAAGATAGCCACAGTCAAAGTTAGAAGTCACCATTGCGTTTCCAGTGATACCGTCTTTGTGAATGTTTATGTACAGTTGCAGACCCTCTTTAAAATCCAGGATGGAGCCCTAGCCGGTTTGGCTCAGCGGTTAGAGCGTCGGCCTGCGGTCCAGAGAGACCCGGGTTCGGTTCCTGCTAAGGGCACGTACCTCGGTTGCAGTTTGTCCCCGGCCCTGGTTGGGTCGTGCCGGTGGTAACCACTCGATGATTCCCTTTCATATCGATGTCTCTCTCTCTCTCTCTCTCTCTCTCTCTCTCTCTCTCCCCCCCTCTCCCTCCCTCCCTCCCTCTCCCTCCCTCCCACTCTATCTGAACAAAAAATGGAAAAATGTCCTCGGGTGAGGATTAAAAAAAAAAAGTCAGGATAGAGAAGACTTACTGAACTCTATCATTTGGGAAGATCTTTCATAAGAAAAGATCATCCTCAAGGAGTCTGGCTGAAAACTGAGAACATTGCTTAGGACAGACATATAGGTTGCTTCAGTGGTTTCTCATTAATTATTTTCTCCTCTCGTTTTTCTATTTTATTCTCTTTTCCCTTTTAACTCTAGGAATGCAGTTATTAACTTCTAGTCTGTGAAAAGGAATCTTCAACTGTCAGGCCTTCAGACAGGCAATAACTGGGATTTTTGTTTTGTTTTGTTTTCCAAAGGCAATATAGCAGCCAGTCCTTAACTTCTGTCCTACAGCTGCCTCCTGCTATTGTGATGGCTGTACTGTAAAGAAACTATAAAAACAATTTTTATTGATGGCATTTCTGTAGACAGGGTATATCCCGTTCACTCTAGGATTTAGTTACACTTTTGCAGCATGTTGGTTAAGAATGGACGGGGATTGGTGCCTCTGGGGTAAGGGTGATTAAGAGAGTATGTGTCTTATGTGTCTTTCCATTTTCTTTCTTTAAACTCCTTAGAGAAATATTTGCATGCCTGTCATGACTTTAGGAGGATACAACCAAATTACAGCATTTTACTATATGTATGTGTGTTTTTGGTCTAGAAAATCATATGTATTGTACAACTACATGTGATGACCTACACCCTTGTCTATTTGTGTAAATATACACAATCTTGCAACCTTTCATGTCAACTGTACCATATATATACGAATTATTTGGCCATGAGAATGGAGGACATCCTGCCATTTGCAAGAACATGGATGAAACTTGAGGCTATTATGCTCAGTGAGATCAGACAGACAAAGACAAGTACTGTATGATAGCACATATGTGGAATCTGAAAAAGCAGTATATAAACAGTATAAAATGGAAGTCACCAGAAAACGAGGGGTGGGGGATGGGACAGATGTTTAAGGATACAATCTTGAAACGAGTATTAAATAAGTCTTATTCTTGAGTTGTAATGGATAGACATTTCCTCTATTATTTCCTACATTATTTCCTTTAGGAAATGATAAATGTGGTTAGAAAAATATTCTGATTCATTAATAGCAGTGATTTACCAGCTATTTTATTTTTATTCTTAAGTTTGTGAAACAAGTATCTTCACTTACTGTGCAAAGAACATAGAAATTTCAAACATATGTAAACAAAGTGAGTTGCAGAATCAAGTACAATAATCAGAATCACATTAATTTCCCCAAAACACTCATCATTCTACTTTATTATACACAAATGAATTTAGTGTAAATTGTATATTTACTTTGCTTGTGAAAACCATAAACATTCATAAAAATTGATGTATCCTTTATGCTAATGATTTCCTTTCTGGCTTTTCCACACTTCTACTCCTAATTTCTTCATGATATTTTAAAATAACATGATGAAATATTTTATGTATCTTTAATATAATCAGGTTTAATTTTTATTTATTTATTTAAAAATTATTTTCTTTATTGATTTTTATAGAGAGAGGAAAGGAGAGGAAGAGAGAGATAGAAACATCGATGAGAGAGAACATTGATTGGCTGCCTCCTGCATGCCCCTCACTGGGGATCAGGCCCACAACCTGGGCATGTGCCCTGACCGGGAATCAAACCGGCAACCTCTTGGTGTATGGGTTGATACTCAACCACTGAGCCACACTGGCCGGGTTCAAGTTTAATTTTTAAAAACAGACTGTTGCAAATGAAAGAAGATTTAACTTCATTTCAATTCAAAGAGTATTTAGAAGGCCACCTCATCCCAGGAATTGTATAAGCTTCTGGAGATGAATGGGCAGAAAACTTCCTAACCCCATGGGACATAGTCTCAAAGGAAAACAGACATTATTTGTTTGTTTGTTTTAATGTATTCATTTATTTATTTCACAACTACTTATATAGCTCTCATTATATGCTAGGCAATATAAGTAATTTGCAAGTATTAGTTCATGTAAGTAATTATATATGATGAGTATTTCTAAATATTTGGATTCCACTGTGATTGAACAACAGTGATTTGGGGCATGAAGGTAAATACACAGCATTTCTCTCTTACTCTATCACATCTCAGAATGTGAGACCAGACAGGAAAGAGAGAAATCCCGTCTCTTATATCAGGAGGGGAATAGTTAGTTGAGTTCATGGTTTTCACTGGAATCTTTTAGCAGTTTGGTCCTCTAGTTGGTTTTAACTAGTGTTAATCAGTTTTATTCACAATGAGTTAGAGTAGTCTTTTTCTTTTCCTCCTCCTTTCTTAACCGGATGTTGTCGTTGTTGCTGTTGACTCTTTCCATACTGTTTTATTTTGGGAGAAGTTGATAAAAAATACCTGTTTTCAAAATCTGCATTCTACCCTGGCCAGGTAGCTCAGTTGGTTAGAGCATTGTTCCAGTGCACCAAGGTTAGAGGTTCAATGCACAGTCAGGGCACATACAAGAATCAACCAATTAATGCATCAATAAGTGGAACAACAAATTGATGTTTCTCTCTCTCTCTCTCTCTCTCTTTCTCTCTCTCTCTCTTCCCCTCCCTCCATCTCTTTTTCTTCTCTAAAATCAATCAATAAAAATTTTTAAAAATCTGCTTGCTAATTCCTGTTTTCAGATAAATTATTGTGCCTTGCATACATGAATTTTAAGAAGACAGTTAACAAACTAAGCTTTAACTTGAGTAGTCTTAGGAAGGTGTTTTATTTTCTTTAGCTCCAAATCTAATTCTGTCCTTTGAAAGTTCATTGAGTTCCCAATTGCTTTTCAAGCAACTTATTCTAGAAACAATATGTAATACTCTTAATTTCTTAATTTATACTGTGGTATTTCAAAGGGCTTAAGAAATTATCCTGCTTTTTTATAAACTTTATTTTACAAATTAAAGTAAATTATATGGGTTAACCAGATGCTACTGTAAGAGGGAGATACATCTGTAAGCTGCATGAGCATGTGATGTTTACCGTGCATTGGACAGTCTTTTAATTCTGGAACCTCCTTAAAAAAGAGAATTTGTTGGTTTCTTTGAGCAAATTTAAGAGGCCCCTAGAATATCATTTTTATGATACCATTTTTTCACTACCTGTCTTAGTAACAACACTCCACAGACTGGAGAGCTTCAGAACTGTAGACATGTATTTCAGACAGTCTGGAGGCTGGGAGTCATGGTGTTGGCAGAGTCAGCATAGTGGCTGGCCGGGCCCACATCCTGGTCCACTGCCTTCTCTTCTTGTCTTCATCTAGTGGAGGGGCAGGCAAGCTTTCCGAGCCCCCTTTATGAAGGCACTAATCCCATTCATGAGGGCTTCACCCTCATGATCGAAGCACCTCCCAAATTCCCTGCCTCCTAATACCATCACATTGGTGCATTAGGATTTCAATATATGAATGTTGTGGGGACACAGACATTTAGACAATACTAAGCAAATTTAGGAGGCCCCTAGAATATTACTTTTGTGAAAGCATTTTTTTTGCTACCTATTGTATTTGACCTTTGTTTGTTAGTCTTATTTTTACAAAAACCAAAACCTATTTCTTGGGTTGTTCACAATTGACCAGTTCTAGCCCATTACTTATCCACAGTTAGCCACTTTTCCTCCTTGGCTCATCAGTATAATCAGGTGTACTGTCAGTCTCGGTATCAAACAAAATTCCAGTTGAGTGATGATTATAATCTTACATGTGTGTTTTCTGGTAACAATGACCATTAGCAGAAAAAACAAACAAACATATACCAGTTCTTTGTGCTAGTCTAAATTTTGAGATGTACCCAAAATGTGCTTTGTTTTTAGGACCATATTGTGGAAGTATGAATGTTCCCAAAGAATTCTTGCTGAACACAAGTGAAGTAACTGTTCGCTTTGTGAGTGGATCCCACACTTCTGGGCGTGGCTTTTTGCTGACCTATGCCAGCAGTGACCATCCAGGTATAGCAGAAGCATCAACATAAATCTGTAACCCTTTGTCTGTCAAAGAAGTTTTTTTATCTGCTTATCACTATCTCTGGACAGAATTGTGACCAAAGATACAGAATTAAGATGTGAGGCAAGAGAGGATTGCAAAGTCTTTGTAAGTAGGTTGGTCTGAACTGACGCTTTTGTAGAATGTGATAGATGAATCACCTGACCTGTGCAGAAAAGAGTTGATTGCATTTTCCTAGTAACCTTGGGTGGAGCATCTTTGAGGCTACTGTCCTGAGGTCTGGCTATTCTTTGGAGTCCTCTACCAACCCATTTCTTAGCTCAGGACAAGCCTTATATCAAGTGCCCACCCCCATCACACACACACACACACACACACACACACACACACACACACACACCCCGTGTACCAGCATGGAGGCATATGAGTATGAGCAGGATGTAGTCACTGTCACAGAGTCCCCTTGACATGCAACTGACCCTTGAGCAGGAGGGAAGGGAAGCGTGAGCACTGATGAGAGGAAAGCATGAGCTCTGCCCAGGCCTCTTGACCTCCAGAGTAACTACCATGCAGCCCATTCCGTCTGCCCAGGGTCAGAATGGGGGAGGGGCACTGTTCATTTTGCTCAATCCAAGCAGACCCAGCATAGCCAGTGTTCACCATATGTTGCTCCTTAAGAACTATTGAAAAGATTAAGGAAAAAAAAAACAAAACTATTGCACATGTGGGATATTTTAGAACCTATACTAAGTTGATATAAATGCAATAAAATTCACAATTTCTTAGCATCTTTGTTGCTGAATAGTAATTTGGTTTCATACCCAAAGAGCACCCTCTTTGTAAATCCTTCATCCTGATTGATCAAAGTTAAGATGCTGGCTGTATTCTCGGTAAACACCTGGTTCTTGGGTCACTCAGATGCCACTAGCTAAATTGTTAAATCACATTGTTCCTGAACCTCCTCCAGGATCCACATTGGGCTTTAAAATAGTTTTCCTTCTGCCAAGGGAGGTTATACACATGACCTTTGTAGGCACATAGTAAATAGTACTAATCAGCGTTGGTTTTCAGGTTGAAATAGATTCTGTTGTCACTCGCTGGGCAACTACTGAAAAACCACCTTTGGTGGGAGGAAAGAGAAATAAAGGGAATTGTTAAATCCAGAGGACACTGGGCTCAGTTTTGACTTATTCTTAAACAGGAAAATTTAGATAACTAGATAATGAATAAATGCTTTTCAAAATTTGTCTGTTTTCTTTTAAAAGAACTCTTTCAAGAATGAATATTGTTAACTTCCATTCAGACTGCTAACTACAGTTATCTTTATGACAGATTTAATAACGTGCTTGGAACGCGCTAACCATTATTTGAAGACAGAATACAGGTAACTATAGCTATTCTGGTTGTGCTGCAGTCATATGCTACTGACCATTTTGTTTGCCTTGATATTAAACCAGATTATTTTTACTTACTTTTTAAAAAATTATCTATGTTGTAACTCACAAGGAATATTTGAAATGGTTTCTTATACAGCAGAGGTCAACAGATTTTTTCTATCAAGAGCCAGAAGGTAACTGTTTTAGGTTTTGCAGGTCACACAGTCTGTTTTGCAGCTAGTCATACAGTTTTGTAGCCGCTGTAAGGCAAAAGCAGCCGTAGACTGGATGTAAACAAATGAGCAGGGCTGTGTTCCGACAACACTTGATTTACAACAAGCAGCAGTCTGGATTTGGCCCTTGAGCCACAGTTTGGTGACTCCTGCATTCTATGATAGTACCAAGGAGCTGCAGAGAGTCTACAGTGTATTTTTTGCCTGGCCTGCCCTGGGGAGTGACTTTTGTTAATTCTTTCCCTTTTAGAAGGCATTTACTTTATCTTTCCCACAAAAGAGAAATTTACTGAGATTAGGAGATGAAGATTTCCATTCCAGCTTTAACTGGAAAAATGGCTTAATGTCTTTGATGAGATTTCCTCATCTGTAAAGTAAAAGAGCCTAGAGAAGGATTTCTCAACCTTGGCACCATTGAAATTTTGGGTTGGATGATTGTTGTGAAGAGCTGTTCTGTGCATTGTTGGATGTTCAGCAGTGTGATAACCAAAAATGTCTCCAGAAATTGCCAAATGTCTCCCAGTGGGCAAAATTCACACCCAGTTGAGAACCACTTTAGAGATCATTGCCAACAACATGAACAACAGCTATCACTCCGCAGAGTGCTTTCTTGGTGCCTGGATTTAGCATATAAGTAACTCGTGAATTTTCCAACATGCCTACAAGGTAGGTTCTGTTAGACCCCAAAACCGGAGGCACAAAGCTGTTAACTAACTTGACCAGGACTACACACTGAAGTATACCCAGAATCAAGCTCAAAAGTTCATAGTCCTAATCAAGTCAGACATTCTAATAAATGAAATTGTTTTATATGCAGAATCAAGTCTAGTGTTAATTAATATTAAGTCTAGTGGAGAAAACATGAAAATAAAAATGACCAATAATTAAATATTGCCCTGTAAGGTTGCCGTTCATCCCACGTAGATATTGGCCACCATTCTCTGAGATCTTTTCAGCCATCCCTTATACAGTGGCAAGGCTGGTAGAGCTTCTGGGCATCAGTGATCATTTTCAGTCCTAAAGAAAGGAATATACTGAGGCCTACAGAATGAGGTTATGGTTCACAATTATCTAAGCCAGCGATTTTCAACCGGTGTGCTGTGACAAACTGGTGCGCCACAAGAATTTTTAAAACGTGTGATACCTGGCTATTCAGTCAGGAGCACTGCCCTCTTTTTCCTTAGACTGTCAAATTAAAAAAAAAACCAAAAAAAAAAAACCACAGCAGCCAACACAAGAGCTGTCTGGTATGAATGAATCAAAATTATACTATTGAGGGGGTGGGAGCAAGGAGGAGGGTGTCAATGTGGGGAAAAAAGGAGGGGCATCTGTAATACTTAAAACAATAAAGATACTTTATTTTTTAATTATGCTTTTTTTTTGGTCTGATCAGCAAAAATAATTTTCTTTTTGGTGTGCCGCAGATTTTTAGTTATTAGTTTATGTGTGCCATGAGATGAAAAAGGTTGAAAGTCATGGATCTAAGCTGTAGCCCAGCCATTTTATAGTGTTTAGGTAACTATGAGGTATGATGGCTAACACAGGTCCACAGTCCCTTATCTAGAATTGTAAAATGCAGAAAGCTGTAAAGGTCAAAAAGTTTTTGTAACTCATTTGGTGGCAATACCTGATTAACATGACCTTAAATTCATTTGATGGCAAGATTGGACTAAAATCAAGGAGTCTCTTTATTTTTTATGTATGTGATTTAATATGACTATTCATGTATTTGATATAGAGATAGTAATGTTTTTTATTAATATGTGCAGACCTCAGAGGGTCTTACATCATCATATAGATCATTGGAACTGTTTTACTTTATAAAGCCCAAAAAAGTCTGAATTCTAAAATACATCTGGCCCTAAAGGTTAGGATGAGGAATTTTAAACCTGTGGTAGGATTCCTCATTATTTTTCTTTTTTCTTTATTGATTTTAGAGAGAGAGGAAGGGAGAGGGAGAGAGAGATAGAAACATCAATGAGAGAGAACATCAATTGGCCGCCTCCTGTATGCCCTCCACTGGGGATTGGGCCTACAACCTGGGCTTGTGCCCTGACTGGGAATCCAACCAGCGACCTCTTGGTGCATGGGTCGATGCTGAATCACTGAGCCACACTGGCCAGGCTATTTTTATGTCTTAATCTTGATCATTGCTGTAATGCTGTACTCCATTAGATCAATGGGAAAGAACTGTGAGTTGTTTATTTGGATAGTTTTGATAATCAGCTGTTACTCATCTAATTTGCTAAGTCAGCAGGAGGAAACAGGAAATGAAGTCAAAACAAATGCTATTTTGGAATCTGTTTGGGCTGGTACATTCTTTTTAAACAAACCAAGTAAACATTATTGTAATGTGATATATATAGAAACAAGGGCATATGGCCTTTATCTTCAAAGTTGTAATTGTTCTTATGATGTTTTGACTTTCTTTTTGCATGTTTTTCATAGATAGCTGTCATTCATAGCCTATTGCTATGCTGACGCTTGAAGAAACGACAGATGAGGAAACTGAATTTAAAGGGGATTGTATGCACCCATTGGGTCACACTGCTAGTTAGGTATTACCAGTATGTGGGTCACTCTGCCCGAGGCCCTTCAACCATACCATATGCCATGAAATGTTTCTGGAAAGTTCCTTGAAAAATAACGGTTAAATAAATGGAATCAATTTTTAGTCAGACTTGTAGAAAAGTCGTTGCTAAGAGCTGGGGTGTAGGGGAAATAGAGAGGTTGGTTGGTAAAAGGATATAAACTTCCAGCTACGAGATGAATAAGGTATGAGGATCTAATGTGTAACAGGATGACCATAGCTGATAACGCTGTATCATATCACTGAAATTTGCTAAGAGAGCCAGACTGAATGTTCTCATACATATGTATTTGTAAATAAAAATATGTGAGATAATGGATGTGTTAACTAGATGGGTAACATATATCATTATGATATATACTTTAAATATTTTACAGTTTTGTCAGTTATACTTCAGTAAAGCTGCAAAATATATACACCTTTTTTTCTGATTGCAAAAGTAGTTCATAACTAATGTGACCATCACTGCCCAATATCAGCCATGTGCGTTATCAAGCATGTAAACTGTGGCTAGTTCAAATTGAGGTGTGCTCTAAGTATAAAACATACCACAGATTTTGAAGACTTGATACAAAAAAAAAAAAAAAAGGCTGAAAATACCTCATTGATAATTTTTCCTGTTCATTACATATGGAAATAATAAAATTTAAATATATTGGGTTAAAGTGAATATATTAATATTAGCTTTTTTTCCTGTTTCTTTTTGCTTTTGGAATGTGCCTACTAGATTATTTAGATTTACATGTGTGGCTTCCATTATGCTTCTATTGGAGTAGTGCTAGTAGAACAAATCAAGATGTTAGAGTTAAATAACGCAGAAAGTGAAAGTTTCTCAAAATCCCACTACAATTCAGAGAGATAATTCCTTGTCTTCTTTTTATCCATATAAAATGTAAGTTATTTTACATATTTTTAAATATGTCTTTTCATAAAAATGAGGTCCTGCTATATATAGTGTTTAGAAATTAGACTTTTTAAAAATATTTCTTGTACCTCTTAGAATCAATTAAGATGCATTAGGGAAGCTCATTGTTTAATAGGGTTTATAATGAATCCTTATATAAAACAAATGCTTTTGTGTAAAACTTGCTCTCATAGTGACATGGTAGATTAATTTGTGTTTTCATAAATTAGGCTTCTGACTTGTCATTAAAGCAAGGAATTTCGTCCTCTGTGTTCTATGGAGGAGAGAAATGGTTGTAAGTATAATTAAATATTTTTACATTTAAGTATAATTTAATAAAACATGAATTCTTTCTTTTTTCTTTTAGCAAATTCTGCCCAGCTGGTTGTAGAGACATAGCAGGAGACATTTTTGGGAACGTGGTGGATGGATATAGAGATGTAAGTGATCAGAGGGAGTTTTATGGCAGGAGGAAATTAAAAAGAGTGAGTGCTATCGCTCTGCCTAAATTCATTACAAAGTAAAATCAAGTAAGATATAAAACTCTGTAAATAGATACACAGTTCTTTTTTCTGAGAATAAATGAAATAAAATAATAAGTATAAAAACCAAGGGTATTCATTTCTATGTTTAGCATCTCTAATTAGGCAAATTGTAAATGAAATGGTAAAACAAAACCCTTTTCAACACCTAAAAGTATAATTCTAAATATACCTTTTTTTTTGGTACGTGCCCCTAACGGGAACCGAACCCGGGACTCTCTGGTCCACAGGCTGACACGCCAACCGCTGAGCCAAACCGTCCAGGGCAAGAGTGTAATTCTTCTAATTTTAATAGGAGGCCATATTTTTATTATACATAATTTCTTTATTTTTGTTAATCCTCATCTGAGGATATTTTTGCATTGATTTTTAACATAAAGTGGAAGGGAGGGAGGGAGGGAGAGAGAGAGAGAGAGAGAGAGAGAGAAAGAGAGAGAGAGAAACATGGATGCGAAAACACATCAATTGGTTGCCTCCCATATGACCCCAAATGGGGCCAGAAATCGAACCTGCAACCCAGGTATGGGCCCTTGACTGGGAATCGAACCTGAGACCCTTCAGTCCCCAGGCTGATGTGCTAACCACTGAACCAAACCAGCCAAGGCTATTTCTTTATTGTAAAGCTCCATTTGGTTCATGTAACAATAGCCAAGGGTGTGAACATTCTCATCACAGAATAGCGACATTGTGTCTGGGACCAGTGAAGCCCTCTGCCCTGTTCTTATATATTATTCTTCTTCCTCTTTGCTCCTCAATCTCTTATGCCTAATGAGATTTTCTGGGTTTTATACATTTTTCCCAGAGAAAAATTGATTCACAAAAAGTCATTTTTCTAATGTATATGTCCTGTCTCCAGATTCACAATCTTTCATTTCTTACTATTTACAGATTTCTGTCATGGAAATCTGGTATCTGATTTTTTTAAATGTTGCATTGCTATTTAAAGTAATTAGGTTTACAGGAATTTGCTTGAGTTATTAGAAATGTGACGGGACTTTTCTGAGGGTTATTGGCATGTGTCTTCAGTCCCAGGGAGAACATACATGTGCTAAAAGATTGATACCTTGTCTCCAGTAGGAAGGAATAACTTGCCTTTATTTCTTGCTTTTAGCACATACTGATTCTGGAAGCCACAGATTTTGTTATTTTTGTCTTTTTTTCCATCTTCATGTATTGTCTTTATTTATAAGATTGACACAGGATATTCATTTGGCCTATAAATTGTTTGAACCTCAAAATAATAATTTATACTACCTGAGTTTGAAGATATACTTGGCACAGGCTATTCCTAAATTACGTCAGGAAATTAATTAAGAGAAATAAAGAAGTATAGTTTCTTTCCCCTCCCCCCAGCAATACAAAGCTTTAAAAAATTATTTTCTGCATTATGCAAGAAACTTAAGAATTATATACAATTCGAGAGATAACATCATTTTTTCTTACTTAGTTGTTTATCTTGCCTTCCCTTGACAGCTTTCTTTTTCAGCATAATAGGTAAATAAATGGTTTCCTGCATACTAGATCTGAGTACACAATTTGCGTGTACTACAAACAAATTTTCTATTTGACTCACTCGGTTTTACACCATTTGCTCTTTGAATGATTTATCTGGAGGGAAAACTTGTATCTTGAAAACCAATCTCTTCGAAGAAGTCTGATTAGTGCATTTTTTATATATTGTGGGTGTATTGGTTATCTATTGCTACATGACAATATTACCACAACTTGGAAGCTTAAAACAATATATGTGTTATCTCTCATGTTCTATGGGTCAAGAGTCTGTGCATGGCTTAGCTGACCTCTGTGTCAGTGTCTGAAGAGTGTGTTGCAAGTGTCAGCCAGGTCTGCAGTCTCATCTGTGACTTGACTGGGAAAGGATTTGCTCTAAGCTCACATGGTGTTGGCAGCATTCAGATTGTCAGAGGGAGGAGCTCAGTGTCTTCCCAGGTCTTGGCTGGAGGCTGTTCTCAGCTCCTTGCCATGTGGGCCTCCCTAGGAGAGTTTCCTAACAAGTGAGTCTCCTAGTGAGATAGGTTACAATCTTGTGTAATATTGTCATGGGAGTGGTGTCCCATCACCTTTGCTATATTCTCTTAGTTACAAGAAAGCCACTGCTCCTACACACACCAAAGGGATTACATCAGGAGGCAGGGGTCATGGGGGTTATCTTGGAGTCTGTCTTTCATGGTACTTTATCTTACAAAATGTGTTCAGTTGTAGCAAGTCTTTTTCTGGAAGCATCTTTGCAAAACCAAAGCATATCCTATAGGTCAGGATGACAGAATTTGTCAAGCAAGTTACCAGAGAAGCGATTGGTGAAACAGGTGCTCTGTCTCAGGAGAAATATGTTGTCTTACAAAGCAATTATGGAAAAGGTTCGTTCTGTATTGTTAGAAAAGGAAGAACTAGGCTCGGTGGATGAAAGTTGCAGGGAGGCCAGTTTCAGCTGCATACAAGGAACCCTTGAACAGTGCAAAATGGGATAGGATGTCTTAAGAAACAGTGAGCCCTAGACCCTGGCAGTGCCAAGTGTGGATGTCACAACCATTTGTCAGATGGCCTATATATATGTGGGATGCTTTGTCAGGAAGCATCAGCAGAGACCTTTAAAGGTCTTTTTGAATTCTTAAGATTCTGTGATTCTATCTCCTTGACTGATGAACTGCGGCATCTATATTTGGGTGTGTTTGCCATCCAGTTATGTAGTATGGGCTCTCTTTAACATCTGCCTCACCTGAAAACCAGAAATACAAAGCTCCTAGAACACTTTTTCTCAGCACATTTTTCCAAGTCTGCTGACTATACGATCTGCTTTTAAGTTGAAGGTATCATTTAATTAACCCATTTTTGTAAATTCTTCACTCTTTAAACAACATTTAAGAAGTATTATAAAATAAAGACAGTATATATAGTGTGCTCCCAGTTCAGGAGGAAAAGGAGAGAAATCAGGCCTATTGTACACAGTCACAAAAAGCCAGAAGGAAATGCATGTTGATGGTGAGTGATTGTATCTGGGTAATGGCAATATGAGTGATTTTTATTTTAAATAATTATGAAGACTATAACAACATAGGAACAATTAATATGACAGAATGTGGAATACATTTTTATAATTTAACATTTTACCATCATTTCTTTCTCATATTGATGTTTCTCTCTCCCTTTCTCTCGCTCTCTCTAAAAAAAAAAATCAATTAAAAAAATTATCAAAACTAAAAATGCAAACTACCTATTTAAAGAGCACCATATTTTTCTCTTTTTTAATTCTTTTAATTCTTTTTCAAAATCAAGAAGGATAGTATTTTCACCTGTGTTTCAACATTCTCATATTCTCTGTTGTAACATCTCCCCCCCACCCCTTTTTTTTTGGCCATGGAAACAGTTATTGCAAAAATGACTCACTTTGCCAAATTTAATCTAGTTTGGGAAATCTGGGCTCTCTAAATGGAAGATCATATACAGTCTCAATTTTATTGCAAAAACGTTAATTATAAAACATAGTTGGTTTCATTGGTCCTCCTAATATTGTAGCCTAAATCTAAGAGAATTTCTCCATTGGAATAAGATAAACATCATTATCATTAACACAAAGAGAAACTCACAAGTCCAATTATGGAGACACAATTTCATGAGCTGCTTTTCTCTTTTCGGCATTAGGTAGCATGGAGAAGTGGAGCATTGCTAAAGTTTATTTAGAAAATTATGCTCTCAGCCACTCAGTCCTGGGCTGCCTATCTAATCATCCTTCTGCACAGGGTTGTGCTCATGGGAATCTAGGATCTGGGCAACCTGTGGAAAAGTTCCAATCCTTTCTCCAGCCGCACTTTCCAGCAGGCCAATTTCAATCACAGGGCCACCTGCTCTTCAGCCAGTCAAGTGTGCCTGCTTGGGTTGTCATACCAGACAGCAGCAATTTAGTGTTCTGACATTACTATTTTGTTTTCTATGCCTTCTTAAATCTCTAAATTAATTGTAAAATGAAGCTGTAGTTTGTCAAGGTTCACCTTCTCAAATGATCATCAGTGTGTACTTTTGGTAAACCGAACATAAGAAACTATAATCAGTTATTTATTTCAGCTGAATAGCCATCTGTTTTTGCCACCCCAAAACTTAGTACCTTAAAATAACAACCCTTGTTATTTGCTAATGAGTCTGTGGGTGAGCAATTTGGGCAATTCAGTTCTTTAGTTCCCTTTGCCTAGACCTGCTCCGGAGGCTGCAGTCATGTGGCTGGTAATCTGGAACCAGAGGGTCAGATGTGGCCTCACTGACATGTGCAGCAGCACAAAACAAGCTGCACGGCCAGCTCAGTCAGTGTGGGAAGCACCTACACAAGGGCATGGTCACTAGGAGGTGTTATTCATTGGGGGAACCACTACTACTAAGTTACCTACTTATCAACCTAGGGGATAGGTTCCCAAGTTAGTCAGCGTACATATGGTGACTCTGATGTCATTGAGATAGTGATATATTAACATGTCTTCTTCCCCTTTTACTGTTTATTTAAATGAATATAGTTTAGCAATGTCATGGGTCAATGAGAGATCCTGACCACAAGTTATAACCAAAACAGAAGACCCCCACTGTATTTTAGATGCATTCCTGAGTAAGCTCTGAGTGAATGACAGTGTTGCTGTGTTTCAGAACTCTTTATTATGCAAAGCCGCCATCCACGCAGGAATAATTGCAGATGAACTGGGCGGCCAGATCAGTGTGCTTCAGCGCAAAGGGATAAGTCGATACCAAGGAATCCTGGCTAATGGTGTGCTATCAAGGGAGTAAGTATTTTGCCTTTTGCTTTGAGTGGAAGGTAATCCCAAGGCATAATTAGCTCACAGTTTTGAAAGAACAGCATACATGTGATACCAAGGGTTTATCAACTGGGAAAAACGTGTGAGTGTTTACAGCCACGTTTATGTGTCTGTGAGGAAGGTACATGCAGCAATAAAAAGCTCACTGGTTCTGCTGACAAGTAAATTAAAAGGGCACTCATCTGAAGTCCCAGGACAGAGGAGTATTTCTACTCAGGGGCTTTAGTTTTTCTAGTTCCAATAATTTATACTCTCCAATATTACCAATATACTGAAGGGAGATTAGGGGGCTGAAATAAACCTATTCTGACTATGGAGCTCCCCAGAAGACTCCTAGAAACAATCTCTTAATGATTAATAATGGTTGAGAAATGAAGAAAGATGACTTTTGTTAATGTTGTTAACTTCTCTGTTTGGTGTTACCCTCTGCTCTTCTAGGTTCATAAGAAAAAAGTATGCCACCCTGGTTTGTGCTCAGTGGTTAGAGCATCAGGGGTCGCAGGTTCAATCCCTAGCATGTGGGAGGAAACCCATTGATGTGTCTCTCTCACATCAAGGTTTCTCTTTCTCTCACTCTCCCTCCCTTCTTTTCTCCTTTCCACTCTCTCTAAATATCAATGGAAAAAATATCCTTAGGTAAGGATTAACAACAACAAACAAAAATGTATGTCAGTTACTCTAAATATTTCAGCTTCAGCTTTTTTTTTTTTTCCTCACCCGAGGACATTTTTCCATTTTTTGTTCAGATAGAGCGGGAGGGAGAGAGAGGAAGAGAGAGAGAGAGAGAAACATCGATGTGAAGGGACACATCGAATGGCTGCCACCCGCACGACCAACCAGGGCTGGGGACAAACTGCAACCAAGGTACGTGCCCTTAGCGGGAACCGAACCCGGGTCTCTCTGTACCGCAGGCCGACGCTCCAACTGCTGAGCCAAACCAGCCAGGGCTCAGCTTCAGCTTTTAATGCTTTCAGGTTTCCTCGGCTTCTGGACTGGAAAACTAGAGCCATTAGGACTAAATATAGGCCCACCTGTGGTCCAGATGCCCACACATGTAAACAGGCAGTTGGAATGGTTCAAAGCGAAGCTCCCCTTGGATGGACACCTAGTGAGGGAAAAGTGGTTCTCAAGCCGCTGTGTTTCTCTCTCTCCTTCCCTCTGTCTGCCCCTGGAAATGTCTTCCCACTACTGTGACTCTGGTCTTTTGACAAGTTGTCATATGGCCTTGGTTCTCAGGATATAGCACAAAACAGAGGCTATAGGCATATCATGATCCACAAGTAAGAAAAATGGGTCAGGACCTATATCTTCTACCACTGAATAGCTTGTACATAGCTCTCCCCTGCCCCTACCTTTTGACCTTGGTCCCCTCTTGCATGCAGAAAGAACATGATCATATTTTACTGTTCCGTTCTCACAATGGATTGTGGACTATCTTATTTGGTAAAAGAAAACTTACAATATGGGGGGTAGATGGGTCCTCAAGTTAGCATAAATACAGTGACTCTGATGTCATTTTGAGGAAGTCATACAGTCATTTTTTTTCCCCCTTCTGTTATTGGTGGGAGCGCTCATCCCCACTGGTTGCTGGTGGGAAAGGGCTTCTTGTGATGTTCTGAGAAAAAGAAATTTCTGAGCCTTGCACAGGAAGATGAGATATTGTAGAAAGCTTTATTTCTGTGGAATTATATCCCTGAGTTTCCAAGATCCCATGTATCCCTCCATCTTGCCATAGAAGAAGTGTAGCTGTGGCTTCAGCAGAGCTAGGATTAAAGCTGTTGCCCAGTTTCCTTTCCATATTGGGACACGGTCCAACCCAGCATCAGGCTAGCTTAGTTTGTATTCCCTGCTGCAGTTTATCAGACCATTGCATGTAGGGTCTGCAGGGCCACATGGCTATGGAGGGAACATGGGCCAGGAGCAAAGCCAAAGGAGCCAGAAAGCTAAGAGCTAAGAGCAGCTGGAGAATGAGCTCCTTTGTCTAGAGGATTATGTATTCCCAAATTTCCATGGGCTTGCAGTAGCCCTGCCCCTCTAGTCAATGATCTCTGTTCCCATTTTTTACTGACAGTCACCTTCCCTATGTTACTCCAACTCACTGTGCATGGGCCCATCTTCCCCTTTGTCCAGTCCTTCCCCTCAGTGATCTGCAGGGATGAACAGGTGGTTCCCTGAGGGTGTAAAGGTGCAGCTTCCTGGGGAAGATTACCAAATAGCCATGCTTATATGCCTGACTTTTCCTTTGCTCCTTTCCTATTATTAATAACTAGCTAATTACAACAACATCACTACTTTTTATTTGACTGTAATATAGTTTATTAATGTTGTGGGTTAAAAAGGGATTTTAATCACAAATGATGACATTGTTTTTATAAGAAAATGCATTTTATGTTTCAAAGAACCAATTTATGAACTCACAAACTTTGTGACACAAACGGATTTCTGGATTTGGGACCGTTGGCCTAAGCTCACTAAGTTAAAGTCCAAAGCCCATGTGCCCGGTGCTTCAAAAGGCCACAACTCAAAATGTCAGAGTTTGGAATAAGGAAAAGGTTTATTGATTGAGAAGGCACCAACCGAGAAGATGGGAGATCTCATCGGCAAACCCATCTTAAGAAAGTACAGATTTTAGGCTTCTTTTATGTCAAGGGAAGGAAAATTAGGAGGGATGTGTTTTTAAAACTCAAGCACCAAGCAGAATACCTCTAATGATTAGAATATCTATATGCAAGATGAAGCAGGAGCTTTTAGCTCCAAGGCCACCAGAACAACACAGGCCTTGGGTTTGATAGAAGGCAGGCCTGAGGCTTAGGGGAACACAGTGGTAGAGTCAAGACCTGGGAAGAGATGCCAGAGAGGAGTTGTGGTGGCTGTCAGCACACCATGCTCACATCCAGGTCACGTCCAGCAGGCTGGCTGGGGGGTGGCTGAGAAGAGGCAGAGCTCCCATTGGCAGTTCTGAGTTTAGCAGGTAACTGGAGAGGTTGTTCCAGTCCAGCCCTTTCACAGGCATGGTGAGCAATGCTGTGTGTAACCTGTAAACGGCAGTCATCCACTAGGACAGGGCAGTCACTGCACGCCCAGATGTGCAGGCTTCCTTCTATAGTTGTGTTCTCTGCTTGACCTTCCCATTTAGTTCCCTCTGGATAGGATTTTTTTTTTTTCAACAAAAGGCCCAAAGTGTTTTTTCATATTATCTGAACATTCAAAGACAAATTAGTTCAAAATTTGTGCTAAAGATCTAAAAGCTTACATTACAGATGCCTTTAGAAACTAAAATTCTTACTCAAATAAAATTTATATGTATATATGTGTGTGTCTACATATGTGCTATATAAAAGTGAAATTTTATATATATACAGTATACATATTCATGCACACACACACGTGTGTGTGTGTATTTCTCACTTAATATATTTGCCTCAAACTTTTTGCAATATTAAAATTATATCCTGATTTAGAGTAAAAATGATTGCTTGTGCACCAGTTTTAAATGTTAGCTTGACCCTGACTTTTTTGTTGTTATTGTTACAGATGTTTCTCCTTTTTCCCCCATTTACACCCTCCTCTCAATTCTCCACCCCAGCATTGTTGTCTATGTCCATGGTTACACATACGTGCATATAAGTTCTGTGGTTTATCTCTTGCCTCCCCCCTATATCCCTCTCCTGAGGGTTTGTCAGTCTGTACCCTTCTTCTATGTCTCTGGGTCTGTTTCATTCATCAGCTTGTTTTGTTCACTATATTCCACAAATAAGTGATCGCGTGATGTTTTTTTTTTCTCTGATTGGCTTGTTTCACTTAGGATAATACTCTCTAGGACCCTCCATGTCTTCTCAAAGGATAAGAAATTTTTCTTTCTTATAGCTGCATAATGTTACATTGTGTATATGTACCACAGCTTTTTTTATCCATTTGTCTACTGATGGACACTTGGGCTGTTTCCAGATCTTAGCAATTGTAAATAGTGCTGCTATGAATATAGGGCTAAGAACATATGTTCTTTCTGATTGTTGTTTCAGACTTCTTTGGATATGTTCCTAGAAGTGAGATTACTGTTGACTCTGACTTTTTTTTTTCTTTATTGAATTTAGAGAGAAAGGAAAGGAGAGGGAGAGAGAGAGAGAGAAACATCGATGAAAGAGAACATCGATTGGCCGCCTCCTGCATGCCCCCCACTGGGGATCGGGCCCACAACCTGGGCATGTGCCCTGACCAGGTATCAAACCAGAGACCTCTTGGTGCATGGGTTGATGCTCAACCACTAAGCTACATTGGCCAGGCTGTTGACTCTGACTTTTGAGGATCTGTTTCATTTTAGTTTTTTGGGTATTTTTTTCCCTACTGATACTAGGGTGTTATTTCAGGAAGACAGCAGGCTGTGGCCTAGATTTGTTGGGTGCTACTCTCTTCAAAATGAAGAGCTGGCCTTTGGCTTTAAATCTGCTCTTTGGAATCTCTTGCCTATGTCTGTATACATTTGAATGCTTCTCTTGTAGAAATATAGGGTGTTATTTTCATTTTGAAGAAAAATCACTTAAACTATTGAATAATAGTAAACATGTTCTCAATTACTTCTGCAATATCAATACTTATGAAGTTGCTTTATATAATTTGAAATTAAACTTTGATGCAAAAAAAGAGGACAGAAATCAGAATCATTAATGAAGTAGGAAAATTTTTGCTTCACATGCCATATAATTATTTGAATAAATATTCTTAAGTGTGTGTTGGTGTGAGTAGATAGAAAATCCAGAATTCTCCCAGGGTCCCTTCTTCCTTCTAGCTCTGTAATTCTGCCCTGACTTTTGTGCAGCGAGAGCAGTAAACTGTAGGCTACTGCAGTCTCTTTCACTCATTTAGATTCCCAAATCTTCAGGGAGCAGTTGTTTTTATCTGCGCTGCTTTGCTGTTGGGGAACCAGTGCACATGCGGTCATTGAACTCTGTTCCCACACACGATTGTTTGGTGTTCAGGAAAAAACACAGAAGGAAGCATTGCAGCTGAGGAAGAAAAAGTCCCTAAAGTAAACATCCAGGGTTCTTCTGGGGTTCATCCGGGGTCAGGTTACTTCCTGGATCTGAGGAGACCAGAATGGAATCAGGAAGAGGCGCTGACTTCACACAGAGGATGATGGCTCAAACCAAAGGCAGGGAAGGCTTTTCTTTTTGTTCACATCAGACTATTGTTGATCGCCTCTGTAGCCCTCTGGGAAGGCTGAGGTCCCCAAAATCTAATTTAATTAATTCACCCTAATGTGTGAAAGCCTTGGCATCCCAACATCTCTAGTGCATTTTCTGTTTTAAAAGGTCACACTTACCTATAGAATTCTCTGAATGGTTGTATTCAGTTAGTTCAACACATGGAAAAACATATTCCCACTGATAATGTAGAAAAGTCAGGAAGGAGATTTTAGGACCCGGGACTTCCCTGGCATCTCCTTCTCTAAAAAGGATCTTTCTCACCATAACTTCTCTTTTTTAACAACAGCAGCAACATTTTAATGTTTCCTGGTGGTAGAAACAAGTTTAGGCTCTCAGGGTTACAGCAGTATTGTTTGAGTTTATTTGGGCCGAATTTCAAGTGAAATACTTAGTGCAGGAACATTAGAGAAAATGGAAAAAGCAGTCAAAGAAAGGCTCTAAATAAATCATAATAAAAATTTAAATATGAATGGCAACAATGTGCATCTTTCTTTAAAGGTCAGGAGAGCTGGGTCCTCCTCTCATCTTTGCTACCAAATGTGAGCTTAGTCAAGTCCCCTGACCCAAGTGGGTCTGAGTTTTCTCATGTGGGAAATGACTGGTGCCTGCTTTTTATTCGGCACAGAGATTATAATAGAACCTTTATGCAGAACACCTGGGTTGATGGAGTCTCTGCCTGAGAGTGGACAAAGCACATGAAAGAGAATATTCATTCCAGAGAGTTTTACTACCTGTTGCTTCTAAGAAAAACATTGATGGGAAGGTACTCATACTCTTATCTAACTATTTTTTGGGTTTCCTATGGATTCACAGTTCTGTACTCTCTGTTGTTATTGCCACATATATTTCAGAGTTAAACATTAAAATATAAATTGTATTCTCAGATTGTAAAATAATGGAACACACAGTGACATCTACCTTTTAATGTTTACCTCTAGTATCTAATATAGTAAGTACTAAGTCCATAAGATTAATCTTGAGAGTTCCAAATGGTCTCTTCATTCTATGTATTGTTACACCATTAAGTTGGTGATGGATTTTTTTTTAAAGTTAAATATAGTGTTAGGCCTTAGAGATCTGGTCTCTTCCAAAGAAGACAACTGCAGACCGAGGCTGATTTGATAACTTCTCCCAGGACATTAACATGAGCTGTAGAGCAGCAGGGCTCCGGAGGCCCAGAGATCAATGCTGATGAACTGGAGGACAGTCTTAGAGCCGTGAGGGCCAGTTCCAGCCAGTAAGTGAAATGCTTTGAATTTTTCTCAAGGCAGCTGCACCTTGTCATCCAGAAGCAGGCGCTGGTTCATGGCTTGGTGCCGATTGCTACAGTGTGATTGGAGAGACTGGGCTGAGGCTGTTCAGAGCAACATGCTGGGGCAGGACCCTAAGGCAAGGAGTAGAGAAGGCTGCAGAGAAGGCAGCTAGCAAATGACCTGCTGTTCCTCTAGAAGTGCCAGGTTTCTTCATTTCTCTCAGTGGTCTGATTGTTGACAGTGAGTGGGGCAGTTACGGTGACTCCTGAATCAAAGGAAGTATTCAGGGCAGGGACCCCTTCTGCCTCTATCAGCATACATTAATTAATTGGGATTTGGGTTGTTCCTGAAACTGTATATCTGTACATTTCTTCTCAATACAATGATTTTGATTCAGAAGCAGTGTCTCACATTCCTGCTCACTTGTCACCTACCTATATGAATTTAGGAAAGTTGCTTACCTTCTTTCATACACACACACACACACACACACACACACATACACATATATATATGCTTATTTATCTTTTAGAAAGAGAGAGGAAGGGAGTGATAGAAACATCACTTGGCTGCCTCCTGCACGCCCCCCTACTGGGGATCAAGCCCACAACATGGGCATGTTCCCTGATTGGGAATCGAACCAGGACCTCTCAGTCCATGGGATGTCGCTCAATCCACTGAGCAACACCAGCTGAGCGGAAAGTTACTTCCCTTCAATGGACCTGATATTCTTGGTCTGTAACATACCAGGGATGAAGATGATAACAGTGGCCTCGCTGGGGTGCTACGGAGATTGAAGGGGGTGTAGGGAGGCTGTATGGGTGGGCCCTGTGCTATTGCACTCAGTCATTAAGATTCAGTTAACTAACTCACTTCCTCGTGTTTGTGTTTACTGTTTCAGTGGTTCCTTGTCAGACAAGCGATTTCTGTTTACCTCCAACGGTAAGGATCATGCTTTTCTTAAGAATTCGATATTTTAAAATCTTCAGTGGTCATTTATTCTTACAAATTCCTCCGATGGTATAGTTTAAAGGATTTTTCTTTCTATTTTCCTCAGGTCACACATCATTAAGTATGCTGTGACTTAAAAGTATACAGGATAATAAGCCCAATTAATATTAATATTAAGCAGAAAGTATTTTTCTTTATAATCTAAGTTCTCTCAAAGTTTTGCCGAAAACAATGACAATTTGAAATGACATTTATTTTAACATCAATTCCTTTATGTTAGTTAGTTTTAACAAAAAAAGCCTTTTAAAAAAATATTATTGATTTATTTGAAAGAGAGAGAGAGGGACATCGATTTGTTGTTCCACTTATTTATGCATTCATTGGTTGCTTCCCTTATGTGTCCTGACCAGGGAACAAACCTGTAACCTTGACATATTTGATGACATTCAAACTAACTGAGCTATCTGGCCAGGGCCAGAAAAGCTTTTAAATAGTGCAATTTGGTTTGTAGGTTTCTTGAATTAAGTTATTAAACATGAGTATATAAAATAAAGGCTTTTATCCCCTCCATCATGGAATATAGTCTGTATAAATATTCCCCCTCTCATAAAGTAGAATATTTTTTTCAATGCATATATATACTTTTATTACCAATATAAAACTACTTATTTTGTATAATATCAAAGTGTTTGTTATAAAGTGAAAGTTCTCTCTTTTCTGTCAGTAAGTCACGGTTGACCCTTCATATGCATCCTTCTAGATCTTATTCCACACGAAGCTCATGTAATTATCATTCTGAGCCCTACCTGACAGAGAGGGAGAAGTTCATTCTGCATCTCACCTCTCCTCCAGGGTGAAGTCCGAGACAGGCTTTGTGAATCTGATGTGGTCACAGGCGTTCAGGGAAACACCAAACCCCGATTGTCTCAGCAGGGCCCTTGCTCTCTGTGCTATCATTGTTGGTTCTCGGGATAAGGGGCAAGAGCAGAGCTCTCTGGCGCTCTGCTCTCCCCTGTGCTTCTGCCATGGCAAGGACCTGTCCTCTGTCCTGTGTCCTCTGGCTCCCTAGGGGGTAAAGCTCAGATGTGAGCCCTTAAGGTTGGAGGGACCCACCCCACCCTGCATGCTGCCACTAGACTGACTCCTCTTTCTGTCTCATTTCTGATGATGCCTTTCACTTTCTTTTTTTTTTTATTTGTCTGTATTGTTAAAAGTATTTTAAGAACAATATGATATCTTCTTTGTCCAGAAAGAGGAGTGTGGCCTTTATTTAGTCCCAACACATTCCCTCAGAAGTGGTATAGTTCAGGTCCTAATGTACTGATCTTCAGAGCATCTGAAGTACCTGCTCTGTAGAAGTACAGAATTGGACCCCACTCTGATCAAGTAAGAAGAACCTCAGCATTTTAAACCTTTAAGACACTCTGTTAAAATCAGGGTGAATTAGGTTAGATAGGGAAATCTACAATGGGGACAAAGATGTTAGTTATAAGGAATGTGACTTCAATAAAGTCCATTAAAAAGTAAAGCAGTGAGTGAGGGTAGGGGGCTGGGGAGGGGACCTGGATAAAATAAACAAACAAACAAAAAAGAAAAGCAGTTGGCCAGCTGGTGTGGCTCAGTGGTTGAGCATCCACCCATGGACCAAAAGGTTACCGGTTCAATTCCTGGTCAGGGCACATGCCCAGGTTGCAGGCTCCTTCCCCAGTGGGGGCCATGCAGGAGGCAATCAATCGATGTGTTTCTCTCATTGATGTTTCTATCTCTGTCTCCCTCTCCCTTCCTCTCTCTCTAAAAATCAATTAAAAAATATTTAAAAAGAAGAAAAGAGAGGAACTTGGGAGAGGACGAGTATGAGGAGCCATGGCTAGGCAATCGGTCTCGGTGCCCCGGCTCCAGGGTGTTTCGCAGGAGCACTTCATGCAGCACCTCTACTCACAGAGAAAACCTCTAGTGTTGGAAGGAATTGATTTGGGGACATGTACAAGCAAATGGACAGTGGATTACCTAAGTCAAGTTGGAGGGAGGAAAGAAGTGAAGATCCATGTTGCTGCAGTTGCCCAGATGGACTTCATTAGTAAGAACTTTGTATATAGAACTTTACCTTTTGACAAGTTGGTAGAAAGGGCAGCTGAAGAAAAGCATAAAGAATTCTTTATTTCAGAGGAAATGCAGGCAACAGAAATGTCTTATAATTCTCCAGTCAAGATGGTGGGTAGGTAAACGCGGTATCACGTCCTCCCATAACCACATCAAAGTACAACTAAACTATAGAACAACCGTCATTCAAAACCACCTGAAATCAAGCTGAATGGAAGTCCTACAACTACGGAATTAAAGCAGCAGCCACATCCAGACTGGTAGGAGGGGTGGAGGCGCGAGGGACCAAGGCGCGACGTCCCACACCCACGTGTGGTGGATAAAAATCAGGAGGACACCTCAGCTGGGAAGGTCTTTCCTGAGGACTGAGGGGTCCCCGTCCCACACCAGGTGCCCTGCTCAGGGTTCCAGTGCCAGGAAGAGAATCCCCATAACTTCTGGCTAAAAAAACCAGCAGGAACTGAGGCTCAGGGAAGCTGATGCGGCTGGAGCCCCAGGCAGCTCCCTAAAGGGCCCGCGCACGGACTTATCGGACTCTCTCCCTCTAAGCTCGGAGGGGAGGCAGCTCCAGGGGCACCAGGGACATACAGGGAAGAACTGAGCTGTTTGGCACTGGAGCGAGGGCTGGAGAGGGGGCTTCCTCGGGGACAAACGTGCTGTAAGAGGCCTTTGTTCCTTTGGTGAGCCCTTCCCAGGGGCGGCAGACAGAAACCATATCAGGGACTCCAGCAACCTGGCTCACACTGGTAGCCCCGCCCTGCTGACTCCCTGAGGCCCTGCCCCACCCCACCCAACTTTCAAGCCCACCCAAGCTGTTGCCACTTGCTTAACCATAGGATTGGCCTGTCTTGGATCCTGCTTCAGGTTTTTCCTAAATTCTTTCAAACGAGCAGCATCTGGTCTCAGCGAACCCCATACCTCTCTTTAAGTAATACACTGAAACAAACACAGGGAGGCAGCCAAAATGAGGAGACAAAGAAACAGGTCCCAAATGAAAGAACAGAATAAAACCCCAATAAAAGAACTAAGCGAAATGGAGATAAGCAACCTAACAGATACTAAGTTCAAAATACTGCTTATAAGGATGCTCAATGAACTGAGAACCTCAGTGAACTTAGTGAGGGCCTCAAGAGCATAAAAAAGGACCAGTCAGAAATCATGGATACACAGTTAGAATTGAAGGAGGAATTAACTGAAATAAAGAATAATTTACACAGCTTCAGTAATAGAGTGCGTAAATCCAAGGAGCAAACCATTGATTTGGAATATAAGGAAGTAAAAAAATGCCCAATCAGAACAGCAGAAAGAAAAAAGAATCCAAAAAAATGAGGATAGTGTAAGGAGCCTCTGGGACAACCTCAAGCGTGCCAACATTCGCATCTTGGGGGTGCCAGAAGGAGAAGAGAGAGAACAAGAAATCGAAAACCTGTTTGAAACAATAATGGCAGAAAACTTTCCTAACTTGGTGAAGGAAACAGACATACAAGTCCAGGAAGCACAGAGAGTCCCAAGCAAGATGAACCCCAAGAGGCCCACACCAAGACACATCATCATCAAAATGCAAAAGGTTTAAGACAAAGAGAGAATCTTAAAAGCAGCAAGAGAAAAGCAGTTAGTTACCTACAAGGGAGTTCCCATAAGACTGTCAGCTGATTTCTCAAAAGAAACTTTGCAGGCCAGAAGGGAGTGGCAAGAAATATTCAGAGTGATGAAAAGCAAGAACCTACAACCAAGATTACTCTATCCTGCAAAGCTGTCATTTAGAATTGATGGCCATATAAAAACTTTCCCAGACAAGAAAAAGTTAAAGGAGTTCATCACCACCAAACCATTATTATATGAAATGATGAAGGGTCTTTTTGAAGAAAAAGATAAAATATATGAACAAACAAAATGGCAATGAATGCATATCTATCAACAATGGAAGCTACAAACAAAATGAACAGGCAGAACAGAAACATTCTCATAGATACAGAGAACATTTTGTTGGTTGCCAGATGGGAGGGGGGTTGGGGGAATGGGTGAAAAAGGTGAAGAGATTAAGAAGTACAAATTCATTGCTAGACTGACAAACCTCAAAGGGAAAGGGGTTGGGGGGGGGGAAGAAATAAACCAAAGAACTTATATGCATAACCAATGGACACAGACAATAGTGTGGGAAAAGGTGGGAGGGGGGCGGGAGTGGGAAGGAGGGGCTCAATGGGGGAAAAATGTGGAACATCTGTAATACAGTCTACATTCAACAATAAAGATTAAAAAAATAAATAAATAAAAGAGAAGCAGCAATAATTTCAAGACTCTGCAGTGCAAATGAGTCAAATGCAAATCTGAGTCATTAAAACACTAGTAATTAAACAGTTGATTTGCTATCACAATAGAAGTAAACAGCTGACTGTTTCTAGATGAGAGAGGACACAGTTATGTTTTTGCTTTCATTTTGTTTTATATCTGAAATATTTTATTTCTCTTTACTTCTAGGTTGCAGCACATCCTTAAGTTTGGAGACTGACGGGCAAATCGCAGCCTCTTCTTGGCAGTGGGTGGATGAGTTTGGACAACAGGTTCATTGGTCTCCTGGCCAAACCCGACTTCAGGACCAAGGCTCGTCATGGGCTTTGGGGGACAGCAGCAAGAACCACAAACAACGAGAGTGGCTGGAGATAGATTTGGGAGAGGAAAAGAAAATAACAGGTACTGACAGGTGCAGTTTCATAATCACAAAGTGACTTGCAGTTGAAATGGTTTCTGAGTTACATAGATGCCTCCAGGCCCACCACATCTTAATCTTCACGTTGTCTCTGTGGAAGAGCCTGTGGGTGGGTTGTAGATATGAATGCATGGGTTAGAGCACTGGTACCTCAGTGGTGAACCTTCGCTTGGCATATCTCAGTGTGAAAACAATCATCTGTGATCAGGTATCTAAATGCAAGTAAGAAAAGTTGGTCTGTGAAATGATTTGAGATTTCACATGAGGGGGAAGAAACCTGAAGTGAAAATACATTTTGTATATAACATATTTAAAAAACTAAACTATAAATATTTTCTTACAAGGAATTAGGACCACAGAATCCACACAACCAAATTTCAACTTCTATGTTAAGAGTTTTGTGGTGAACTTCAAAAACAACAACTCCAAGTGGAGGACCTACAAAGGAATTGTGAATAATGAAAAAAAGGTAAGAGAAACTCTGGAGGAAAGAACTGAGTAGGAGATCAAGCCTCCAAATATGTTTACCAATGTGTTTCCAGAAAACAGATTTGTAGCAACATCTTGGTTAGATAACTTCTCCTTTGTTTGCAAAACCTTGTATCTTTGTTATCAAGAGTGTCTAAAAAAATGCAACAGACGTAGAATCCTGGGTTTGGTTTCACGTAACCAGGTATGAATGGGTTGATAAAGACCTAAAAACTAACTAATAGAATCTTCAGGTGAAAGTTACCTGTTTCCACAGGTGTTTCGGGGCAACTTTAATTTTCGGGATCCAGTGATGAACAATTTCATCCCTCCCATCGTGGCCAGATATGTGCGGGTCATTCCCCAGACATGGCACCAGAGGGTCGCTCTGACAGTGGAGCTCATCGGTTGCCAGATTACACAAGGTAGGAGTCAGGGTGAGTTAGTGGGTAACTGATTCTGGTCATCTTCTTTCACAAATGTTGTTGCTAATGTGGTTGTTCTAATATCTCTTCTCTCTCAGGTAACGACTCATTGGTGTGGCACCAAACCAGTTTAAATTCTGTTGATTCGACTAAAAGAGAAGATGAGACAGTCACAAAACTCATCCCCTCTGAAGAAATGCCCACAGGTAGAGCAGTCATTTTTCGGTGATTTCCTCAGGGGTATAACTCTAACCAATATGACAGTAACTTCAACAAAATTTTTTTTCTTTGTCATATAAATGTCCGGAAGCAGATGGTTCAGAGGTATCTGCATGTGTGTTAATGATGTATGTCTATAACTATTCATTGCAGTATTGTAAGTAGAAAAGATAGAGTTTGCCTTCAAACACTAAGTAAATATTTTATGTAAAAATAATAGCAATCCATGCAATGGAATACTCCTCAGCCACAAAAAAGAAAGTGTTAGTAATCTCGAAGGCTCTCTGAGATAAATTGGCAACTTAAGTAAATAAGCAACAGTCTACATAGCAATCTATTTTTTTAATAATTATTTTTTTATTGATTTTAGAGAAAGAGAAAGGGAAAGAGAGAGAGTGAGATAGAAACATCGATGAGAGAGAACATCAATTGGCTACCTCCTGCATGCCTCCCACTGGGGATTGGGCCCACAACCTGGGCATGTGCCCTGACCAGGAATCAAACCGGTGACCTCTTGATGCAGGGTCGACGCTCAACCACTGAGCCACACCAGCCGGGCTATAGCAATCTAATATGTGTGTAAAATATATACATATCCATTCTGGTATTTCTGGAACAATGTCAGAAAACATAATTTGGTTTTCTGTGGAGGAGAAACAAAGGTAGCAGACAAACATTTCTTCCATACCTTTATATACTTTTTGAATTCTGGATATAATAGTGTATAATTTATTCAAGTAATGAACATTAAAAGTACATTTATTTTTCTTCAGAATATAAAAGAATTTGTGTATTAATTTTATAAAATTTGGAAAGATTAGAAAAATATGAATAATATAAATACAAATGCTATAAATCAACATCCATAGATAATCACCATATTTCTCTGTATCCAATCAATTATATTTATATTTATAACTTTGAGACAAAATGATAGCACACCATACATTCCCTTAGGTAGCATCTATTTTTCACTTAACAGTGTATTTTCAATGTTATTAAATAGTTGAAAAACACAATTAGTAATATCTTTATAGTATTTTTTCATTTGGAAATACCATTATTTAGTTAACCCATTCCCCTATTGTTAGATGTTTAAGTTGCTAAATTTTTCCCAATTTTATACATTTATAAATAACACCACAGATATTTATGTAAATTTTATTCCTTTCTAAGTTCCTTATCCTTCCTTTTATGAACTATACTTTTCTACTCCTGGTTGTCTCTATATTTTCTTCCCAGGGATCACAGATAAAGAAGGATGAAGAACAGATATTTTTTCTTTAGTTTGTATAGTTTCTACAAGCTTGGGGCCTACTGTAGTGCCTGGTAAAGTGACCTCCTTTTTTAAAGCAGAAAGAGTTGCAGGAAGACACAGTCTGCTGTTTCATGCAGCAGGGTGGAAATGCTGTTTGAGGTCATCTAGCAGTATTTCCTTTCAGTCCCCAGCTTCGAAGCACTGGTAACGAGAAGCCCCAGGTCCCCAGGCCTCTGTCACTGTCCAGGTCCAAACCAGACCACTGTCAGGGGAACTGGCCACTAAGAGCTCCACATGCAGAAATTCTTGACCTGTCTGGATAGCTCCTGGCTGGGAGGGGCAGCTTTAAACCTTCTGCTCAGTTCAGAATTTTGAAGTCTAATGGGATCCAAGCAACAAGCTCAGAGTAAATGTTAATCCCTGAAGAACATTGAAAACTACCTTTTAAAATGAAGTCTTTCCGTTTGTGACAACATGGATGGACCTAGAGGCTATTATGCTAAGTGAAATAAGTCAGACATTGAGAGACAAGTACCATATGATTTCACTTATATATGGAATCTAAAAACAAAAAACAAAAACAAAGTAGGCAAACATACAAAAACAGATACAGATTCATAGATACAGAGAACATGTTGATAGTTGCCAGGTGAGAGGGTGTTTGTGGGGTAGGTGAAAAAAGGAAAGGGATTAAGGTGTACAAATTGCCAGTTGTAAAATCAGTCCCAGGGATGTAAAGTACAGCACAGAGAATATAGTCACTAGTATTGTAATAACTGTGTGTGGGGTCAAGTGCATACCCGACTTATCAGGAGGATTGCTTCGTAAATTATATAAATGTCTAATTACTATGTTTTACACCTGAAACTAATATAATATTGTATGTCAACTACAACTGAAAAAAATTTTAAATTTAAAAAAATAAAAATAAAACTGCCTTTGGAAAGGTGGAGGCAGGAGGCGTTACATTTTATTTTTCTGAACCTCAGCCGGAATTTTGAATTCTCTGTTTTTGCTTTCCAAGGTCAGTAAATGCCTAGCATGTATTCATCTCCCCCATACATTAGCCCTTTGAAAACTTTGAAATGAATGTTGAGTTTCAGGTCATGAAATGGGATCGCAGGTTGTTTCTATTGTAATGTGCTGCTTCCACTCGTAGGAGTCAACGTCGCAGTGGTTGCCACCCCGCTGGTGCTCCTGCTTGCCCTGCTGATGGCTGGAATGGGGGTCTCTGTAGCCCTCAGAAAGTATGTGACTTTACATTTTTTAATTTCTTCTCTAATTGTGTACACAATCACAAAGCCAAAATGTTTACTAAGATGTTCATGTGTAGAAAAGCAATATTACTTCTTACTTTTTCCAAGATAAAATGTTAACTTGCATTTTACAAACATGTTAGATAGAGGTAAAAATATTAAGTAGTATTTTATAAACAGTACTTATCATTTAGAAACCTTTTCAGAAGGATTTTTTGTCTTGATAGGAGGAAGAAGAAAGGAACTCCTTATGCACCCACTAAAGCTCAGAAAACAGGTTAGTTGAAATTTCTATCTCCAATTTTATTCTGTCTTTAAGGAAAGGACAGGATCTGCTGATTAAAAGCACCATTAAAACCACCATTTTAAAATAAAATGAAAATAGAATCTATAGCCTTTAAGTTAGCAAATTTATAAGAAACGAATATATTGTATCCTATCTTTTTAATTCAGAGTTTTAAGGAACAGATGACTTTTACTTTTGTTCAACATTGACCCATCATTTATCAACATTGGGGTGCAGGGGTGGCACTGGCGTTTAGGTCAACACATGCCTGTCACAAGAAGTTATAAAAGCCCCATCTGTGAACTTAACATTGTCCAGCACGCAGCATCTGCAGGCTTCCATTGTATTTTCCTCCCTGGGAAAGTGTGGGAAGGACAGGGAGGGCTCATGTTCAGTTTTCAGAGAATCCTCAGGACACAGGATGCCCAAGCAATGCATCAGTGGTGGTCCAGAGAGAGGGCTGTGGGGCAGGGTCACTGAGAATCTCAGAAACAGCTTAGGCCTCCACCTCCACAGGGTCTAAACAGCCAGCTGTGCTGATTCGTCAAGGTCACAAATGCTGTGGCAAACCATGCCAGGTGGTCTAACAGAGAATCTGGGACCTGATGGGTACACAGCTACATTTTAAAGGCACAGTGGAAAGCAGGGTTGGGATAGTGTTTGCTGTGGTTATAACAACCTCAGCATGCTGTTTCTACCACACACACCTGAAGCACTGTGCCCATGAATTTATCACAAGGTAACTGGCAGAAGGCAGCCTGACCTCTGGCTGTTGTAGGACCACGTCGTGGAACAGTGGCGAATGTGCACTTTGTTTCCTGTTATCTTTGTTCCAGACTGTTGGAAGCAGATTAAATATCCCTTTGCCAGACATCAGTCAGCTGAGTTTACCATCAGCTATGATAATGAAAAGGAGATGGCACAACGGTTAGACCTCATTTCAAGGGACATGGCGGGTAAGTGTCAAGCCTCTGACAGTGCTGCTAAGCAGGTGTTGCCTGTGGGAGGGGGGAGACCAGGAGAGAAATCAGACTAAAATCCTGCTGTTCAGATAGGGTACTCTAAATCAGTAATGTGTGAAGTTTTCTTTCTACATTCTGTACAGTTGCAAACTGACAGGGGTATTTCTCGAGAGCCCCATTCCACCGAGGCTCTTACACCTGCAGTAGCTATAATGATACCAAAGTAATGGCTTTGAAGTCCCACCAAAACCTGAGCACTCTTACTTCATCTGCTTTTGATACTAAGGTTTTGATGAAGGCACTAGGAAAGAGGGACTAGAAAGATGAGTTAAGTACAGCGCCAGCCCTTGAGGAAGAGGAGGAGGAGCTGAAAACACCTGTCCAGTGTCAGAATAGCCTCTGAGTCCCTTGATCAGGCATCATCAAGGGTCAAGCTTCTCAAACTATGGGGAAAGATCCATTTTTTGCTTTTTTTTTTTTTTTTTTTTTAAGTTTCTAACCCATCCAGGACTAATACTTTTGTAAAATACAATATAAATTGGTAGTAATAATGATGTTTAAAAAAAGAGACATACAAAATACAAAGTTCTAATTTTTTTATTAGACTCGAGGGACATACAATTATTCTTTCAAGTTGCTGTAAGTTTTTAACACTTGCTCTCAATTTCTGTGATCATCTCTTTGCAGATTTGTCACAAATAGTTCTCAGATCTCTAGGCATCTACAGCCCACACTCTGAGTGGCAACACTGCTCTGGCTTCTTACTTGTCAGGGAGTGTTCTGAGACCAGTCCCCAGGTGCTGCGTGCATATATCAGTCGGAGAGGTGCCAGTGGAGAGGTTGCCTGAGATGCCTCAGGGGCGAACAGAGCATCTGTCCAGCCAAAATCCATCTTCTTGTTCCTTTCCCTTGAAAATTCAATTTCCATCTTGGGGATGAAGGCAGACGAGAACCCCTTGTCTGTCCTCTCCTTCCTTTCATTCTCCTTCGGCATCCAATGCAGTCTCTCCTACTTCCTCGCTGCGCGGTACTTCTCAGGCTCCTAAATGTGCAAGGCCGAGGTACCAGTCTTGCCCCCACGCATCTGCAGTCTTCCCCTTAAGCAGTCTCTCTCACTCCAGGGCTCCTAGCAAAGCCCTTGCATATCTGTCCACTCAGCTACTCACACTCAAACTTTCCTCCTGGTCCCAAATGAGTCCCTAATTCTCACCTGCTGGACATCTCCACCTGCAGGTGGCACCACTTCTTCCGAGGGTCCAAAATCAAACCCACGTTCCTAACCCTCCCCATATACGCTCCGTGCACTGCTCGAAGTGGCCTCCCAACTCTGCCCCCGGTGTTCCAGGCCTCCCGTGGAAGGGTCTCTGGCGCCCCTCTTTCCTATACCCTACCTGCATCCTGGCTAATACGGTCCTCTGGTTCCGTCTCTGAAGTGCGGGCCGTTCCCTACCTTGTGACTTCTGTGTTTCATGTCTCTTTGCTTTTTACTTCTTGCTTTTTTATATTTCCTTCTTCAGTCCACCTCCAGAGTTACCTCTCACTGAGCTCGTCTTTTATTTACAATCCTCAATAGGTTTCTTCGGCATTAAATCAAACTTCCTAGCAACACACTCAGTGTGCTTCCCTCTTGATTTCAGATTACCAGCAGCCTGTCATGATTGGCACTGGGACAGTCACCAGGAAGGGCTCGACCTTCCGGCCCATGGACACTGAGGCCCCCGAGGCTGGGGCGAGCGCTGAGTCCGGCAGCCACTACCGCTGCCCTCCCACTGCCAACTGCCACGAGTACGCGCTGCCCTTGACCAACCTGGAGCCCGAGTACGCCACGCCCATCGTGGAGCGGCAGGTGGCGCGCGCGCGCACCTTCTCCGCGCACAGCGGCTACCACGCGCCCACGCACCAGCCCTGCCTCTCCGCCGGCGGCTTCTCCCCGGCCGCCGCGGGGGCCTGCGCCTCCAGCCGGGACTACCAAAGGCCGCAGAGCCCGGTGCTCACACACACGGGCTACGATCAGCCCAAAGCAGGGGGCTGCTCCACCGCCGAGTGTGCGGAGCCCGCCTGCCAGCCCCAGATGAATGACGCTTACTCAGCCCCCAGGGACTGCCTCAGGCCCCTCGGCCCCACGGCTGTGACCGCTCTTCTGTGAACACAATGTGAAAGACACCTGCTGTGGTACTGAGCGCTGGGTTGTGCGGCACTGGAAGAAGGGAGATGGCTTCAAGTGGGGGGGTGGGGCGGGGAGAGAGAGAGAGAGAGAGAGAGAGAGAGAGAGAGAGTGTGTGTGTATGTGTGTGTGATTTAATAGGATCCTACGGTGGAATCTTAGAGACCACCTCTTATACTGTTTACAAAGTTGTGCAGCTGGTTTTGTTCTGCCTCTTTGGGCAAGAGTCTATTGGGTTTTGTTGGGCTAGAAAAATGGAAATTTTTAGATGGCATTTTCATTTCTCCAACTGTGATATTGAGCTGCTGTGGTATAAAATGTGCAGTCTGTACAGAGTTGTATTTAACAAGAGCTAAAGTAACTTAAGTGTGCTTTATCAGATTTAGTTCACACAGGTTAAGTGGGAGAATGCAGCTGTTGCAAAAAACGTATATAATAGTATGCTCATTTGTTAAACATATTTTCTCTGATACTGTGTTAGCAGCAGGTCTGTTTAAACTTAATCTTGTTGTTATTGTGGCTCATTTCCTTTCCTTTGATAACTAGAACTAAAAGCATTGTTAGCATTCTTCTCCTGGAAGGAATGAAATTACTTGAAGCATGAAAAGCACACCAGGGTGGCTGTTAGTAATTATGATTGTAGATTAAAAAAAACATGCAACCACCTCAGTGACTGGCTGTTCCTTAGACTCCACTTCAGGTGGGGATGTGCAGTGGTTAGTCAGGGCATGCAAGGAGCAGACGGCCTCTGTCCCCAGGGACCTCGCCTGAGGGACCTGGACCCCTGAGGAACTGGCTTTCATCACACTTTGCTTCCTCAGGGCAGACCTGGCAGATACTGAATGGCTTTCACATGCAAATCAACCTTTACAAACTGTAAAGCCAAATGCTGAGACTTAACAGCAACCAAAACTGCTCTCCCAACAAACTGAATGAAGGTGGTACAGAAATTACGGTCTGAATCACTGTGTCAGATTCTTTTGTACCTCAGATTCAAAATATTGCTGAGGTCAGATGCCCACATTTTTCATGATTTCCTTCAGCAATAGCACGTTGTTCTCTGAAACACACACAAAGAAAGTTATTTGAAGTGTGTTCTTACAAAAGTGATCCAGACCAAATCTAAGTAGATAGAGCTCTTTCTACTGAGATGGTTGGGAACTGAACTGCTTTTGTAAGGAATACTTTTCCCCTCCAGTATATGTCTGTTAACTCCCGATGAGCCCAGACCTCAGCTGTACCTCATGTTCAGTGGTTTTTATTTGAGTTTGCTTTGTGAGTTCACTGTGGGGGATTTAACCTCTTTTGCCAAAGAGGAAAGTACGTGTTTATTTGTTTTAATAGAAAATATGGACCAAAAAAATTCTTCTAAACAATGTATTATAATCTTACTTGTATGATTATAACTTTCTGTGAAAAGTATAAATATTAAATAGTGAGGGTGCTGGAATGTCACAGGCTATCTGTTGGTTATTGTGGAGGATAAACTGTACACTTCCTGGCGTTTACATGGTTTTGTATGCATACTGATGTAATAAACTATGCCAGATCAAAGACCTATGCCTCTCATTGGTGTCTGCTTTTGGCTCCGTCTCCAAAAAAAGGCAAGGGGTACAGTGGAAGAAGCATGGACTTGGGGTCAGATGGGCCTTGGTTCCAGACCCTAATCTGCCACACATAGCTGAAGGCTGAGCCAGTTATCATGGAATAAATGAAGATGAACCCTATGAGAACAAGCAGAGGCTACTCAAGAGTTTGCTGTCACAGTGGCATCAGCCTCCATCACTTGCATTTTGGCAGAGAGAGACTCCAGTGCAGCAAGGAGTAGGAAAGATTGATAGTGGGAAAGGGGGAGGCTTCAGGTATGCCCTGATGGGAGGCTATTGGCCTGGGGAAACTAGGGGGGGGATACTAGAAGTGGAGACTCCTGTGAATTGGTTAGAGGTATATATTTTGTTCTCTCTGGGGGGTCCTAAGTTGGAAGTGGGGACAAAAATTAAGGAAGCTAATGATTATTAATCAAATTCTGGAGATTTGGCATTGACTAGTATAGGTGTTATTGTTTGATTTCCTCAATTCTTACCAGACATAGTGGTCTGACTTCCTATAGGTCTGATTTACAGCAGGTTGGCTTTCTGGGCTGGTTACTGTGGATAATGGGTAGGTTTCTTGCATTTATTGCTGTAGGTTGTGAGTCAGAGTTCTGTTTTTATATATGGTCTGACCATTATCCATCTAGTCTGTCATATAGAACCCGCAGCCTCAGTTTTCTCATGTGTACAAATGACGATAGTGTGCCTCCCTCCAAGGCTTACAGATAACAATTCATTGGGAAAACGCTTGTCAAAGTGTTTGCTCTACACTAGCCCCTCTTTTTTCACAGGGCTATATATAGTACTTTAACATTAAAATATTAGTCCAGCCCTGGCCGGTTTGGCTCAGAGGTTGGAGCGTCGGCCTGTGGACCAGCGAGGCCCGGGTTCAGTTCCCACTAGGCCCTAACGGCTAGGGGCACCAAATATATATATATATATATCCATAAGGATAGGCTTTTTTATACAAGGGAGCTGTTTTTGTCCATCACAATTCTTCCCTGTACTGATGATCTAATCATGACAGAAAGGGGAGAATAAGACTTTGGTGTTTTTTTCATTATCTGTTTATTATTTATTTATTTATTGTATTTATTGGGGTAACATTGGTTAATAAAATTACATAGGTTCAAGGTGTACAGTCCTATAATATACATCATCTGTATATTGTATTGTGTGTTCACCACCCCAAGTCATGTCTCCTTCCATCCCCATTTATCCCCCTTTACCCTCTCCTACCTCCCCCTCCCTCATTTCCCTCTAGTAATGACCAATAGGACTTTGTTTTGGAACAGTACTTCCTCAAGGTGACCTCTCTGTGTAGACAGGATAGGTGAGTAAACAAGTCTGGTAATTCCTACACAGCCAAGCCTACAGTTGAGAGGGTTAGAGCAAAGAATACCACGTCTTTCTTTTCCAGTGTTTTACAACATTCGCACATACCATACAGTGAGAATGAGATCATTCTAATTTTCTGGTTTCTTCTATGTTATCCAATGCTATTGGGGGGCAGAGGTTTCTTTCTTTCACATCTTACAGTCATGGAGACATCTGCTCTGACATCTACACTGATCACAGAGGTGGCTGGAACTTGTCTCTGGGGTTTATTACTATTATTCAAACTTTCATTAGTATTTGTAATCAGCCTAGAAAACATCTAGAAAGGATGTGAGAGATTGCACTGTGTTTATTACACGTGTTTTGGATTCTTAGAAAGTGAAATCACATTTCTATTATAGGCACAACTATAGACACTACAAATAGTCTTTCATACACACCTCAGTTCAGCAGTCCTGGTTGCCTACTGTTCTCAAAATGTTTCTCTTGCATTTGTCCATGCACCCAATAGTTACTACAGCTCTAAGAGCAACGTTCACCCTGTACTTATCTAAGAGAGCATGCCTGGGAGCCAGAACCCACCATGGGTCTCTGTCCCAGCCTCTCCCTGTGCTGGGAACAATTCTCTCCTAGCCTCTTAAGATTTTTGCTCTGCTTTTGGTATTCTGCAATTTTACTACTATGTGTTTAGCTGTGAATTCATTTGTATTCATACAACATTGGACTGTGCTTCTTGAATTTTAGGATTCATCGATATTGACTGAAAAATGCAGTTTTCCTTTTTTTTTCAATACTACATGCCTCTGCTGTTTTCCTTACTCCTCCTGAAATTCCCATCAGATGCTCATTGGACTTTCTCACTCTATCCCTCCATGTGTCTTAATTTCTCTTATTTTGTATCTTTTTATGTTTCTGTGCTGTGTTCTAGGTAAATTCCTGGAAGACGGTATGTCACAATGGTTGAGTGCAGCCTTCTGGTTGCCTTAAGAAACCACACCCTCTTGGCACCAGTTTCCTTGCTTGTTACGTGGGGAACAATACTACCCACCCGCTGTGGCTGTTGTGAAGTTTAAATGAAGTTTTCAGAGCACCGTCTGGCCCACACAAAGCACTGTGTACGTAAGGTTACATATTAGGCTCCAGTTTACTAATTTCCTCGTCTGCTATCTAATCTTCCAACACCATGTCCCTCAGCGTGCTGTCCAAGGGGAGGTTGCCTTTCTCTTCAGCTATCACACTGGCTATAGCACACCTTCTTCCTTATACCCACATCCCCATACCCATTCTTCCCCACTCATTCAGCCCCATTCAAACTCTCTCGTGCTAGCTAGCTCTACCATGTTTTCTTTCTGCTGTGGCAATGAATACCTTCCAAGCTGCTTTCCCCACTCATTGAGGACTGTCACCTAATGCCAGGTTGTCTCTGTTCTTCCTCTGAATTCATGTTGGAAAATTCAGTATCCAACATGGTCACTTCTATGGTTTTGACCTCTAGTGACCTCCATCCCATTTACACCACCTCCACACTCTTGTTTCAGCAAGAGCTCCAGCTCTAATATCTTGACAATCCTGTCTCTGCTCACAACCTTCTATTCTTCTAATACATCCTACATATTAAACCCTTCATCCTACTTATTCATTGATCTCATTAAGGTATTTAATGCCTAGGTCCCATCATTTTCCTCTGGTTATTAAACTTCTAAAGTTGTATTTCCTTCCCCATCTATCACTTGAACTGTCCTGACTCAACATTTTCACTCCATTGTCTTTCCAGGAACCCCAGACCTTGAGGCCCCAACTGTATACGTCCCCTTCAGGACACCATCTCCATCTTTCCTCACTGAAGCAGGACATTGCCTCGTTTTTCACACGTGGGCTCTTACAAATTCCTGGTTTCCAGTTTACCTGGGGCCCATTACTCCTCAACCCTGCTTTCCCCACCCTCCGTAGCTGTTCCAAAGCAACGCCGCTCTTGACAGTTTCCCTCTCCTGAGATTGCCACCCCCTTCCCCTGGGAAAGCCATTAACATCAGGTCCTACAAGTGCCCATCCCCCCTCTTCCCACAGAAGGCTGCATCCACTCCAGTTCCTTCCTCCTCCCTCCTGTGTCAGTGAAGAAGGTG